AAAAATAAAATCTAAGGGCATAGTTTGATTTCTGATGAGAATAGTAGAGCAAGTGAAGTTCTATGAAATAATCTATATCAAGCAATTCGACTATTTTTGAAAAACCTTGACAAAAAGAATGCTCCAAATAATATTAATTTTGTGGTTGTTGAAGCTCATTTGTATCATATCTAAGAGACATTTTTATTCAAGATTAAAACTATATTTCGTATAGATAGATGCGCATTTTTATCGGAAATCAAACTATGCCCTTAGATTTTATTTTTGATCTTGATTTAGCGTAGAAGTATGTCGAAAACTATTTATGAATAACTTTTGAAAAAATTTCTATTTCAACGTACATCGATTTTTACCATATTCCATATGTTGAATTTATCTGGATCACAAAAAAAAAATTTATTGAGATCGTTAAAATTAAGTTGTTACAAACTCTGAAAGTTTCCATCGAAATCGATCATCAATTTGGTATGACACGATTGAATTCATGTGAAATTATCCATATGATTTCTGCTTTACGAAGAAGTTACAGAATTTCGAGAAATTTTTGATCATAACAATAAGAAAAAGGATTGAAATCAATCAATAAAGTTCATCATTGTTTTATTTTCTAATTTACGAAAGTTCAATATTTCAGATTATTCATTTGATATTAAAAATATATTTTAACCATATTTTCTCATCAACAATAACTTGAAGTGAATATCTAATATAATCGATGTGTTCTAATAGATATTTCTAAAGGATATTTTATTTAGATGAAGTTCATATAGATTTCAGATGTTCAAAAAGCATTAAAATATTTTGAATACCTCAAGCAATTAAATAACGATTCCATTTCAATAATTGATAGAATTCAATATCTAAGTATACTGATAATGCAATATATTACAGAAGAGTGATAAAAATATTTCGAGTTTTGTTTTTGAATCTCAGTAATCATAGACATAAGAAAAGTATAGTTCGAAATTTTCCTTCCAAAATAGCTGAACATTGATTTTATTTATTGCCTTCGGAAATTATTATGTAAAAGAAAATGAAAAAGTTTTCTTTTACTTTTGAGAAATTATATTTACAATTAAAATATCCCTTATTTCTATATTATAATTAGTTACTTGATGGTCATAATATACAAAAATTTGAATTTGTCTTGGTTACGGTAACAAATTGGCCTCGTCAATTAAGAATCAATTCTTGTATGTGATCTTACTGTTGCAGAAAATATTGCCTATGGAAAAGAGTCAAATGAAATTATTTATGAAGATTGCTCGAGCTCTCTTTTGAAATCCTAGAATTTTGTTACTCGATGAAATTACCAGTGCACTTTATGCGGACAATGAACAGGTTTATGTCTTTCATTTGTTTAATTCTTTCGAGTATAGAAAACTTCTAAATGTTTAAAAATTTCATTTTTTCGAGAGAAAACGTTCTCTATCTTTGCATGAAGCAACTTAGACACTTATATGAACTTGACTTAATTCAAATAAGTTAATAACTGCAGTAATACTGAACTTCAAAAATGCATGATAGCTCTTAGGACACAGAAGATAACATAAAAAATAAATTTCTTTTCTTCATCCTATTGGAACATATGGATATATAATCTTTTTCTTTAGCTAATACAAGAATCATTGAGTCTCATTCAGCAAGAAACTTCTTCACAAATGAATCTAAACTGAAACTTCAATAAAAATTCTCAATATATTATGCTATGAGTAGGTTTATATACATATTGAAAATAACTCATGGTAAACTTTTAAGGATAGCACAAAGCTAGGGAATGGGCAATAGTTAGCTTGATGAAAGTAAATAGATTAAGAGAAGGGCATCTTCTGTCATCTTACAGCTGCACCTAAGCCTATACCCTTCACCTTTAAAAACTGAATAGACAATGTCATAGAATATAAATTATTATACATCTCTAGTTATTATGGTTGAAGGAATAAATATAACGAAAAAAATAATACTTTTTTCTAAAAAGAGTCTCGATGTTTCATCTCACTTGATCCATGCAACGCCTAGATTGGCTTTTTAGGCCTTTGATATAAACTTAAAAATACAACGGAGCTCTATCGTCTGTTATGTACTGTACTGCATCTCAATATATGCATACTGCTTTTGTCTGTTCCTGTATTAATTTCCGATGGTCACCATCATACAGAAGTGCAGTATAGTAAATAGATAAAAGATGAAGAAATACTTAAGATGGTTGCTACAACTTCGAAGAACATCAATTCTTTAAGTTGTGTCTCGAGAGCCTTGATTAATCAGTAGTATTATCCGACAGTCGAATATTTTACTTCAAATTTTCAAATGAAAACCATGTTAGATAGAGAAAAAAAAAAACTTTTCATAGATTAATTAGATTTTTAACTAAAGAGATGTATTCGAATTTCGTCATAAAATATATTCTACCAGACTCAAGTGTTTTATAGAAAGTCAGTGAAAAAAGTCATTAAAGTTTGTCGTTCTTTTAGAGTATTCCTCTTGCCAAGAATACAACCGATCAGGCTGGAAATCTCATCACTGCTACAGCATTTAGGATAAGCTGATGCATTTTCGAGAAAAAAAGAATAAAAAGAAGATTTTATGAGGAATATTTTTCTCCATGAAACCATATCATGTTGCATTCGGACACCATCAAACTTTGGCCGATCTACCTATAATTGTTTTGAAGATAATTAAGACTATACGGCACAGTTATTTTTGAGCTTTTGTGACATTCCAGCTTTCTATTTTTTTTATGAGATCAATACGTAAAGACATCGAAAATTTGACGATTAGAATCCTATAAACCCAGAGACGAAGAAAAAAAAATCAAAGCAGACAATTCTACATTTGAAAAATAATCCTAGATAGCCATGATGAAAATTTCAGTCGGATCAGTAGTATATTCTCCGATAATTAGAAGTAATCACAACAGATGACCATAGGTACCATTTATGTTCTCTAATATTTATGAGATTTCAAAAACAATTAATAGTTTCTTCTTTGATTTTACTTGGAGCCAAAAAAGAAGTTTTTATTCGTATGTAAACTAACTGAGCACTTAATAAATAAATAAAAATAAAATCTAGATTTGCTTGAAAATCTTTAGGTTCGTGAATACTCATGAATTTCCATGCACATTACTTCTTTTTGCGAAATTCAAAATGAAACATTGAATTTCGTAATTTTTCTTTCTATCTCATGTTTTTAAAATATTTATACTTTCTTAGTTTGATAAGTTACATGATAAGCTCTAAAAGATAAAAACAATTTGATAAAAGTAAAAATGTTTCTTCTCATGCTTCATACTTATCTTTAATTGCGCATATATTTTATCAACATATTATTATAAATTTATCAGGGCTTATGTTTTCTTGTTCGATATGTTCTACCGTCACTCATAAAAGCATTCTTTTTGTTCTATTTTGTCTGTCAATATTTGTTTTTGTCTGACTCATAGCAAATGATGAAAACAGCTACGTATTTGCTCACAGTGGGTAAGAAGTATAGTTGTCAAGAGTGAGCTCGTCTGTATAAATTCATTTCTTTCTTGGTAAAATTTTGTCTACAACGCATTATTTTTCTTGTAACCAGCATTAATGGAAAACTCAACGAATTCAATTGAAGATTTGTTTCTAGAAAATTTATTTCCAAATGGATATTATTCAAGTTATAACAATGATGTTCACTATGGTCGTAGTAAGTTCAATCAAATACAGTATATTATTTTATACCAAGCGATTCTTTTAGCTCTAGACTCGGATTATGATAATTCAAGTAATCTTTTCTCGCCATTATCATCAGTTAATAATGATGGCATGTATTTGGAAACTAAAAATAGCAGTACTCCATCAGAACTTCCTCTTTTTCTACCAGGTTTATTGTTAAAATCTTTTCAAAATCAATTATAACTTATATTGCTATTACAGATGAACAACGAAATACGCTCGCCATTCTTGATAATCGACAGATGGTATCAAATTCAACTTTTGATCAATATTCGAGTATTACAAATATGTCGATACTTCAAGAAACAATTGAAAATCAAAATGTATTAATGTATCAAATGTGTCCAACGATATTTGAAATGATCGATGTTGCCATGTCTGTTAGACAGCAACCGAAGACAAATAATCGTATACGTTATGATTGTGAAGATATCCAATTTTTGCCACACTCGCGATATCATCCATTGACAATTCATGTTTGTTATTTTGTTTCTTCTCATTAAAAATATTTCATATTGGTGCTTTAGGTCCAAAATTTGCAACGTATTGCATTACCTAAAAATCAAACACTAGGTATCGTCACAACGATAGTAACAAATACAAATAATCCCAGTGGTCAAACATTTGTTCATATAAATGATATTATTTATCGTGATCCAAATGCAATAAAAATAGCATATGGATGTGTTTTTGTTCCTTTGAGACCATCTGATGATGTAAAAGAGTAAGTAAAATTTTAAAACAACACAAACGAATTTCTTTAACATTTTTGACTCGTAGGTATAGACACCTGTCAATTTTATATAAAAACTATAGTGACTATACGTTTGATCTTACACCATTTAATATAAATACCATGTTTGGAACAACAGAGAAATGTTTGTATCTTTATTTTAATTTCTTTGTTTTTTTTTATAAAGTTTATTTTAATTTTGTTATTTTTAGATACAATCTTAAATGATCAAAATATGAAGAAAGTTCGGAAAGCAAAATGTTTTAGAATGGACTACAATCTATTATCATATAAATTAGTTTTTCAACTTGCGTTAAAAGCACATAATATGATATATATTTCAAATGTCGTATGTGAAACCGATATTGTTCATGAACGTAAGTTTTCTATATTAAAATACTAAATAGAATATGAAGAGTATATTTGAATTTTAGAAGTAATGAAACAAAACTCTGGTAAACGAAAGGCTTTTAATTCAACTGAAAGTCTTTCAGAAGAGGAATGCAATTTCGAAAACCAAGTTTCGAATTCATCGAAAAGATTCAAATCATCAACACCACCGTTGATTGAATTTTCAGTAAATATACATCTTCATTGAAATAATTGATTCATTTGAAAAAGTGCATAGCATAATAAATTTATTTATTACAGATTACATGTGTCTCAAACGAGTGTATTGATGTTGACATCGGTCATCAACAATGATTCATGCTGAAAAGCCATATCTAAAGATCTTTATACAAATGTTGTCTTCCATGACCTTTGAAGCAGCTAAATAATCCAGTCTGTTTTTTCTTTTTGAATTTTTATTTCGTAAAATAAAACGATTTAATCATGAGAATTACCAAGGTTATGAATGTGGATGTGGGTGTTTGCGTTGGTGTAGGTTAGGGTATGGGTGTGAATGTATTTGTTTCTTCAGTCCACACCCAATACTCTTTTCATGTATTATTGCACCTGTGGGAAGAGAAACATGGCATTCTTTTTTTTACAGTACGATTCAGTAGGAAAGTCGCACAACTCGAAATCGAATGATTGCTCTCTATAGAAATAAACAAAGAAGTGTTTGTTTTACAACAGTGAATCATAACGAAATTCTTTCCCAGTGCTATTGCATCACTCTTAAGAAAGAAATGAAACAATGATGCCAACAGTTTGAGTTGCCGGCAAATTTTTGCGAAGTTGAAATCGAAAGTTGTTTTTAGTTAACAGCAAGAGTGATATAATAGCGCTCAAATTTGCCTTGATTCTCTCGTTTCATAAAGTGTTTTTACACAAAATTCAAAAATTAGATGATGTAATTGACTCTTCTCTCTTCGAAGTCAGAAGTTAATTTTCTTATTCAAATATTTGTAATATCAACCTGTGGGCCCCAGGTTCTATTGTGGAAATCAGCTATTTTCGAATTATTGTTGTATACTGATCCATTGTTTTCCAAACAAATCAGCAACGGAAATCCGTATATACCTGCGATTTTCACTGCTCGAAAGAGGTTACTAAAGTAGATTGAACTATGTTTTACTCGCAAGATTTGAATAGTTTACTGCGGATTTTTTGCATAAATTGAACTTTTTAGACACTTACTATTTCAATATAAACAATTTGCAGTTCCTATTCTCTCTCAAGTAGGATAGCCATGTACTTTTTCAATCGCATCTTAAGATTGTAGACTACGCGCATCAGAGCTATCGAAGACCATCTTTTTTATCTACTAACACATTTTCACCTGATTGACAGCCAGGTAACATAAAAGTATAGAATTTTGACTATATTGAATCTCGTAAAATTACTTATTCTCTTTTTGCGACTAATTCAAGATGGACAAAAAACATGTAAGCAAAACAGTTGACTATTAGCGTTATCTATCTACCAATGAAATGATCGCAACCTAGCTGATTCGCATCCAAGGAGGCTGCACATAAATCCACATACACACCCTCCATTTCTTCTACTGCAAGCACTTCAAGTTCTCTTTACAAAAGACACCTGTGATTGACGTTCAAAGGTTCAGTCCATATTTAAGAATAAGACATATTAGAATTGTTGTGAATATAGAATATAAAGAGTCTTCCTTTTATGTTCGCATCATACATTTAATAAGATGTAAAAAGAAACTAATGAATAGAGATGATTTCAAAAAAAGTTTGATTTATTTTAAAATCACAAAAATATAATAGTGTAAGTTTGAATAGATGTCATGTTTGAAAGATGAAAGGGTATGGATATGGTAGTGTGGAGTGTGGAGTGTGTATGTGTGTTTATCTTTTCTTCATCTAGCCCTACACCCACAGCCACACCATCCTAGGACAATAGATGGAAGTGTAAGCACAACAGCAAAAATAGTCTAAAAAGTCAATGAATGTGTCAGAGTAGTCGTTACCGTGTTTATGTCACGGAACAGTGTGTGCATACGAGTTTGAGTGAGACTGAAAAGGTCGATGAGTATTTCTTCAGCTTACCTTAATTAACGCAAGATGCTTGAAAGCCTTCGATTTCCACACCCGCATCCCAAATCCTGTCATCCTCAACCAACATCTCTGAGTGACAACTAAAAACTCAATAAAAGAACAACTCGCTGCAGAAAGAGAACTAAAAGTTTTCAATGGCTACCAAGAGTCTACATAGGGTCAGGAAGCTTCACGTGTCAGTGAATCTCTGTAAGCAGAAGTGAAGCTGTTTCATCGAAATCTATACTAGGAGTTTAATATGTTGTCATTTTACGCTTTTCCTGAAATCTAAGTGATAGAAGAATTTGACTTTCAAATCGAGGTAACATTATTTTGCAGATGTAATAAATATCAGAAGAAGTAGAGTAGATTGAGAACGCAAAGAAGTAGTTAACAATGATTTTCATTCCTCAGACTGTGGACCGCGGAAAGGACAATTTATACCAAAGCCATAGATTTAAAAGAAAAGTTGATGGATTTCTGTGAGACTCGTCAGTCAAGCACTTGCGAGAAAAGCTTTTTGGCATCTTCCTTCAACTTTATTTATCTATTATTTCGAAAGATAATTCGTAATGTTGTAACAGTCACTGATTATTTTGCTTTTCTGCTTCAGCAGTTTATCTAAGACCGAGAGACTATTAAAAATCTTATGCATTTTCTCAGTTAACTTGGCTTGAATTTTTAAAAAGCTGAGACATTCATTCATACAGAATCTCATAGTATTGTTAGTTTTTTTTCCAAAATTTCAAGTTAACAAGAAAAATTATCATAGCATATTTGAACACCGCTGCCCTTCACTGGCGAATATGGATCATAAAATTTACAACTGAGTGTACAAAAATCTACAGGATATTAGGAAGCCACAGTTACTTCGTAGAAAAACTCTCCATCTTTTACATTCACTTATTATCTATCGATCTCTAAATGTAACAGTCAATTGCTCTCTTGTAAAAGTTTTAAAAAAATTCTAGTACGCTTTTTCTGAAAATTTGAGTTCAATCACGAGCAGACTTGCTATATAATAATTCTCATATTGAACGAGTTGAAATAATAGTATAGAATAGATTCTTAATAGGAAAGATGGCTTCTTGTACATCTTAACAGAAATTTCTTATGATTATCTGCCGAATTTTTCAACCCAGCGTAGGTTTCGTATAGTGTGTACATTCGATTAATAACAGTTGCAAACGGCTGGTTGTCTACTTTTCTGAGATACATAACTTCTTTACATATATTCTGTTTGAAGAAAGTCATTACAAGCTCCTAGATAATTATATAAAACTTTTGTAATTCAATACATGTGTTCTCTAAGTAGTTGAAGAAATTCGAAGAGTTAGATTGATTGTACACTTTATAAATCACGTACGATCATATCAAAGTTCGTTCAATACATTAGAAAGAACAACATATAAATATAAATATGAAATATAAAATATTGATAAAACTAAAGAAGAATATAGAATATTCTCTTTATCTTATGACTCATTTGATATTGAATTTTTAAGATTGAATATTTCGGACAAAACACTTCGTCCATCATCAGCAAAAATCAATAAACCAAATCAGTTGTACTAATGAAATCAATCTTATGTATTTTCATTTTTAATAAAATTCCATTTTCTTCTTTAATTTTATCAATATTTTATATTTATATTTATATTTGTATGTTGTTCTTTATAATATATTAAACTTATTTTAAAATTCCAAATTTTATTAAAAAGAAAATTCGTTCAAATTTAAGAAATACTTCTCAAAGCTGAAAATTCAATGAAAATTATAAGAGAGAATAGGTACAAAATAAAGAAATGTTTGAACGTTATAGTCCACGTTTTGTATTGATAAATACTAAGAACTTGTATAAGTTTTTTATCAAATGAACACTAAAGCCCTTCTTCAAAGAAGTCAATTTTCATCACAAACTTCCCAATTGAGATAAATTTATGGAAAGATAACATGTCTTTAGATCTATCAGGATTTATATAACTTTTAATCTGGTCCTTTCTTTCTCCAAGAAATTTCAACTTTTCTGGTTCAACAAATATATTTTTTCTAGCAAAATGACAGAAACTTTTTCGTTTTTTCTCACTTTTTTCTTTTCAATTTCTGAATCCAAATTTTTTTGTTTACACTCATTTTGTTTCTTTCTGTTTTCTTTCCTTTGGTAAAGTGTGCAAAGATATACTGCAGTCATGTAATTAGAGTGACTTTTTTAAGATATTTAAAGTCATGAAAGTTGTCAGCCAATTCATTCGATTAGCAAGTAATCATTTTTAAGAAATATCCATTCTGTATTATCAGATGTTGCTCGAAACAAAACACGAATTCAGCATATAGAATGAACTCCGTTGGAGAAATTTGCTTTGCCAACTATCTATTTTTGACCATTGACAGTTCAATAATTCCCTTCAGTGCTACGATATACAACTGAAAATTTAGAGTATAGGTTCTCTACTAAAAGTTCAACAAATTTTTAAAATTCTTCTCAATGGACTTCCTTGGACTGAGAACAACTTGTGAAGAGGAGAGTTCAGTATCCTTTTTTTTACCATCAACAAGAATGAGAAATTATTTGGAACTAACAGCAATACAATGAAAACGCCGTGCAAATGTGGCAGAACTTAAATAAATTCTAAAAGTAACAGGCACAAAAAAGCGATGGTTGAAAAGTGACGAGAAAATTACGAAAATAACCCTCAATAAACATTGCTCATACTAAAACCAATACTGTGTTCTCCTAGCTGTCGAAAATATATATCGTATAAATTTCTAGCAATGTTGAAAAATTAAACTTTTCTTTCCTTTCCTTTTTCGAAAGGAAAGGGAGGAAAGCAGTTAACTTTCCTTTCGTCAAAGAAAGGAAAGCAAAAAGAAAGGGAAAGTGCCATCTCTACTCAGAAACGGTAGCAAAGATTTTAGGGAACCCATTAGGATATCAGAAGTCCAGAAAAGCTTCTGGCAGCTGATCCATTTCTCAGGATGATGATGAAAGCTTTTCAATCTCAAAGGAATAATTGAGAGGAAAATCATTGAGATTCCGAAAGTCGGCTCTCACTCATATATTGGTGTGGGCATGCAGGATCTGAGGAGCACGGGTGGGTCTGGATGGAGTTCTTGTTTCGCAGCCACCTATTCACACTACCACTCTCCCACACTCACAACCACCTACTCGGGAACCCAAACCCTAGGAATAATGAAAAAGAAAAGGTAACTACATACAATAAAAGAACTCCATTTGTGCTTGTTACTTATTTCATTTATTTGTTCGTTGTTAATGCACTTTTTTTTGCTCACTTGTGTTCTTCATTTGCGTTTTCAAAAGAAATGAAAGAAAAAAAATATTCAATCAATCCTATGGTCTATGTTTTTTCGAAAAAGAGTTGTGTTCGCACAAAGACATCAAGCATGTGCTGAGGTGCGGAGAGATCATTGGATGGAATAAGATGAAGAGACATCGACAAACTATGAGTGTGAAACGTGGGGTATAGCTGCGATGAGGGAAAGGATACTCATGCTTTCCACCCAACACTCTTGACACCCACACTCAAACACACCAAGAGTAGCATTTTTTCAGAGTGACTGTTTTGATTAATTCTTTTTGTATGAAAAAAAATGCATGCATATGTTAAACAACACTTTCAATCCCATTTCATTCTTTTTAAAGCGTCACCATATTATCGAAGTAGTCTTTTGTGCTTCTCTCATGTGCAATGCTCAGGATAAACAGAGCTTCATCAACAAAGAAAAATGAAAAAAAAATGAAATGTAATGTAATTTTTTTATTTACTATATTACCTTTCGATTTCAGTGTTGTCGTTTTATCACTTTTTTTCGCAGTGTACTTTTTCTACACCTTGCAACGGTTACCTCTTTTCTAGTGCAAAACTATGGCATGAATATGAATATCACTATTCTTCTTATGTATACTCATGCTCAAGTAGATACCCATCTATACCTTCAGATTCACTCTCGCGATCGCTCCAATTATCAAGTCATTGAAGCAGTCTTGCGTATCTTTTGAGAATTCTACTCCTATTCACTATTAGGAGATTTCTAACATTTTCTGTAATGTTTTTCTAGATATTATGGATGACAAAAAGTCACCGAAACGCAAATTAAGAAAGTCATCGAAACATAGAGTAAGAACTTCATTGCAGACAATCAAACCAAAGGTGAGAGATCCATTGCATAGTTGTGATGCTAAAACAGGCGCTCGTCGAAATACATGTCAGGATGATTCTACATTGTCGATGCGGTCTATGTCATTAGTCTCACAAAAACCAAATTTTGAAGGCATTACTTTGATTTGGTATGACCCAAAGATAGATAAAAATGAAGATACGATGCAAACAGCAGGAGAATTACGGGAAATAAACGATTGTGTGATACTACATACAAATCAAGCCGACTGCGTTAAATATATGCAATCAGTTGAGAACGAAAAAATATTTCTTATCATATCAGGAAAAGAAGCAATGTCTATCTTATCAAAAACTAAATCATTGAAACAACTTGATTCAATCTTCATTTTCTGTCTCAATGTCAAGAAATATCAATATCTATTAGAAAAGTATGATTTAATAGTTGACATTTATGATGAACGCTCTAATTTGATTAATTCCATCAAACAAAATGTTAAACTGTTACAGAGACAATTATATACATTCAATTTCTATAATGAACATACAGAAAAAGCTACACGTGATATATCAAAAGAGTCTGCAGAATTTTTATGGTTTCAACTATTCAAAGATGTTCTTCTACAAATGCCACGAAATCAACAAGCGAAACAAGAGCTGATTGTATTTTCTCGTCAATATTACCGTGGAAATCGAAAAGAATATGAAAATATTATCGAATTTGAGAAGTTGTATCAATCGGATAACAGTATTTATTGGTACACGAAAGACTCATTTTTATATAGACTTGTAAACAAAGCTTTACGTACAGAAGATATAGAACAATTACACATATTTCGATTTTTCATTAGTGATTTATCATCAATGTTAGCTAAAATTCATAAAGAACAAAATGTTGGACAGAAACAAATTATTACGCTTTATCGTGGATTAAAATTGGAAATCGATGAATATAATAGATTGAAACAAAATCTTGGTTGTATAATATCAACTAACGGATTTCTTTCTACGAGTCGCTCGGACAAGGAGGCTATTGAGTTTGCAATGAAACGTACAAAAAGAAACAACGTAATTCCTGTACTATATGAAATTGAATGTAATTTAAATGTATTAGAATCTGTTGTCTTTGCTGATATCACAGAATATAGTGAATTTAAAAAGGAACAAGAGGTCTTGTTTGATGTAGGAAGTACATTTAAAATCGAATCAATTAATAAAAATGAACAATTGAATATGGATGTAGTCAAACTGATAACAACTGATGATGGAATAAAAATGGTCCAAAAATATATTGAATTAAACAGAACGATGAATGAAGAAACTAGTCCTAATATCTTATTTGGCATATTACTAATTCAAATGGGTAAATATGATCAATCATTGAATTATTTCACAAATTTATTGGATATACCGGATGAAAAAGTAGATGAAGGGCGAATTTATAGCGCGATGGGATCTGCATATTTGTGCAAAGGTGAACTGGAAGAATCACATCAGATTGCCGATCATGCCTATCGAATAATGATTGAAGCAAAACATTCTCGTATTAAAGATTCAACTAGACCGATGACAGTTATGGCTCATATTTATCTTCGTAAAAAGATGTATGAAAAGTCACTCGATTTCTACTTTGAAGTGCTAAAGATTCATAAAGATTTTCATGGTCGAAAACATTTAGACACAGCAGAAACACTGAATCATATTGGTAATGTATACTATAAAATGGAAGAGTACTCGAAAGCGCTCTCATTCTATAGAAACTCATTTGAAATTCGTAAAGCTCAACTACCATATATTCATCTTGGTATAGCAGCAAGTTTGAATAATCTAGGACTCGTGCATTGGAAGACGAAAGATATGGATGAAGCAGTTAATTGTTTTCAAGAATCATTAAAAATTAGAAAACAAGTGCTTCCATCGAATCATAATGATATTATCCAAAGTCTAGATAACCTCACACACCTATTTTATGAAAACCATGATATCGAAAACTCATTAAAGTACTTTACTGAAACATTAAATATACAGAAGATTAAGTTTGATCCTGATGATCGCCATGACCTTTTAAGTCGTCTAAAAACAAAATTTGGGACCATAATGGAGTAAGACAGAATTTTGAAATCGGAATTCGGACATTGTTGGCAATTTTCTAGTGCTGTCTAAATCCTTTCAGGATTTCAACAATAACAAACCTGATATGTTATTTCATAATAGAAATGTCAGAGAATGAAATGCTACAGAAACTGTATTATTGTCGAAATTCTGGAAGTATAAAGGCAGCACTGAGAAATCGTCGATACTGTCCGAATTCCGATTTCAAACTTCTGATTGTTGACTTTTCAGTGAACTTCCAGATCTGTCTCGCTGGCCGAAGTATGCAAATGCATACGACATGATCACAAGATGTTCATTAATTCAAAATGACCAGCCGACAGTAATTGATATTGCTACGGAAAACGACAAAATCGAACTGCAGAAAAAAGATCTTTCTATTCTAAAGCAATTTATCAAAACCCTTAACAGTGATGCTGATTATGGTGAGGCGTTAGAGGCAGTGAAAACAATATTGACGGTAACTCATGAAGTTTTTCCCTCTAACTATGATCATACTGAATATTTAATCATGTCTCTTCACAATTTGGTAGCGAATGCTTACGACAGTACTGATGAAAGCAATAAAGCCTTTTGTTTCTATCAAAAAACACAATACATACTGGAAGAAGAGACTGAACATATAATAAATACGAGCAGTATTCAAGCCATATGCTTAGAACGAATCAAAAGGAGAAAAAAACGAGATCGCTCCATTTTGAAAAGTTTTATTAAAATTCTAAATAACGATGGTGATTATGGCAAGGCATTGAAAGTAGTGAAAGATATATTGATAGCATTTCCTAAATCATTTCTCTCTGGTTATGATCATACTAAATATTTGATGGAATATCTTCGCGATTTGGTAACAAATACTTACGATAGTACTGATGAAAGCAAAAAAGCTTTTCATTTCTATGAAAAACTTCAAAACACATTGGAAAACGAGATTCGACATTGGGTAGATACTAATGATATTCAAATCATATGCTTAGAGAGACTCGGGCATATCCAGCAAATCAATAATAATTATGAATCAGCAGTTGTTTCATTTGAACAATGCATAAAAATTCAGCGAGACAATGACAAAAACTTGGATGACATTCTTGATAAATGACATAATATTGGTCTACTTCATATGACTCTTGGGAATCATACTCTGGCATTGGCATCATTTAATGAAGCAATGAAATTAATACCGTCATATTCTGAATCGGACGCTTGGGAAGAACGAATGATTTTAATGCGAATTGATGAAAATAAAACTATATTAAAATTAATGAACGATTCGTAAATATTATTTTCGATGGTCTTTACATTTGACTAATTTTTTTTCTTCTGATTAGCACTATCCCTATATTATTTAAATCTAAAATACAATAAATACGATTTTTATATGAGAATCTGCCGAGGAAAGAAACACAATTTAACAACAGTAGAAATAAGATTAGTTTTCATTATCATCGACTTTTTTGATAAAATTATTAAAATAATACTTACAACAAAGTAAATTATATTATAATTTTCGTCTAAGTATAAAGCTGTATGGAATTCAGTATGACAGGAGGTAAGAACAACGTAAACAGAGTATAGAAATGCTGTAATGTTTATAGTGAAAGGAAGATTTTTATTATGTTTTTATGCATTAAAGTGCAGTAGATAAGATAGAGTTATATGCATACGAACAGAGAAAAGATCAAGATATGACAATATACGTATTTTAAGCATACCCAGGTCGAACATTACTGTGCCCGTAAACGGCCGTACACAGTCGTTTACGATGACGTGAACGGCCGTATCCGTCGAAATTACGACCGTATACGGGCCGTAAATAACCCGTTTGGTAT